AGTGAGCAAATTGGCCAGTGGGATAGGGACTGACCCAGGCACTTGCATGAGCGAGGAGGAGGCTTCCCCTCCCCCTCACACTCCACCGACTGAGGGCTCCCGGCGGCAATCGCGGTGGCCCTGCCTCCCAGCTGGGACTCCCAGCCGCTCCCCCGCCAATGCCAGGCGTCCGTCCGGTGCCCAGCCGGAAAAATCAGAAAATACTGGACATTGCACGTGTCCGGTATTTTCTGATTTTTTTACCAGACCGAGGGTGCAAATACCGGACTGTCCGGTGCAAATACTGGACTGTCCAGTACAATACCGGACACCTGGCAACCCTAACTGATGGTGGAAGTCAGCTATGTCAACAAAACAAACACTCATTGTCCCTTTAACTTTGCTATACAGGGCGGGAGCTGGTCTGCGAGGGAGCCAGTTTAAAAACCAGCTCCCCTCGCGGACCAGCTTCCTGTTGCCCTGCGCGGCTGCCTCGGGCAAGCCAGGATGGATCCAGCCTGCTAAAATATGTACCTGGGCAGGAGGGGGGGATGCGTGTATTTCGGGGAATCGACTGCACTGCTACAGCCCTAGCCCAGCCAACCGCCTTGTTCTTCGGCATGGGCCTGTCAGAGGGAGATCCGTGCCCCGTGTTGCCCATGGGTTTCCAAGCACCATTACGCCGGTAATCAGCCAAAAGCGCCACCGGCTCAGCTGAGCACCAGTCCCGCCCAGCCTCCCTGCTCGGCTGCCCCCCTAGGGAAGGGCTGACTGGGCACAGGCTATGCTGCGGCACGGGGTCTCCCTGGCTGCGTCCTGCCCTTGGCTGGGCTCTCGGGGCCTGCCTGAGCATGGATCATCGGGGGGCGGCTCCACTGGCCTGGCCCTGGCTAACCGGGAGGGCCCCCTCCTAGCCGGAAGCTGTGTACTCTGCTCCAGCCGGCAGCTGGAGGTTCCTCTCCCCACCCCTTCTACCGGTGCCCACGCCCTGTTTGCTTCCTTCGCCCGGCCCTGCCTCCCCCCTGCACCGGCCTCCAGCCCCCTCTCCTTCCTGCAGGCTCTCTCGGCAGCTGAAGCCGGCACAGGCCCCGGATCTGGGTCTGGCACCCCAGCCGGCGAGCTCTCCAGGGCAGGAGACAGCTGATCTGTGCTGCGGGCACTGACAGGAATGCAGTGGGGACACTGAGGCACGGCGTGGCAAAGCCCCACGACTCCGAGTCCCAAGGCAAGTCAGTGGTACAGCCCGGCCCTGAGTCCAGGTCTCTTGACTAGATCCAGCTGCCTGGTCCTGTCTAGGCTGGTCGGTCACAGCTGATCTTGCTGGTTCCCCTGCAAAGTAGCCCCAGGTAGCT